ATATACACTTCTAAAGAGAGTTTATCCAGTTCATTGCAACCTGCAAACACGCCACCAGAGGTCGTTAAATCCTCCGCGCTGAATCTTTTAGGCTCTTTGACGTGTTTGTGAGTTGTTAGCATCTCTGCCGAAATCGAATCAAAGTACTTTATACGAATTTTGTCTTTGCTACCAAAGAAAACAAGGTTCCTAATTTCTGCCTCTGTCTCTTTCTCTAGATTTAAACGTCTTATTCCAGAAGGGAGACAGGAAGTAAGAGGGGGAGGAGGAGGAGGAGGAAGATGAAGAGGAGGCGGCGGCTGGTCTTTTTTCTATTTTGCACATGTTTCAAGGATACAGTGCATTGATCGTTTCTGTCCATCACACACTCACTCACCAAGGTTACACAGAGGTGAACTCAGACAATGATAATGCGACTCAGCATTTTTGGGATTAAATGGTGACAAGGAAGATCTTCAGAGGAGCTTCTGAAAGCGACATCATCATCATCATCATCATCATCATCATCATCAACAGCAGCAACAGGAGCAGCAACAAGCGTCAACAACAGCAGTGATATCAGCACCAATAGGCTTATATTGCCCCCTGGTGGCTGTGATGGGCCACAGCAGACTGACTGAGGGCATCTCCTCTTCAGATCAACTCCAGGAAAAGGAAAAAACTTTTTTTGTTCTTTTTTTTTAATTTTTTTTATTGATCGATCGATTGATAGTCTTAATTTTAACCCTCCGCTAAAATCGTAGCACTGCACAGACAAACACACACACACACATAAATACTGTGTGTTTGTGTGTGTAGTCACCACAGCAGTCCCCATACAGCTAAACCATCATGCCAAAGACTCAACTTCACCCCCAACTAAACGGTTCCCAAACGATTCATCGAGCTTCCTGAAGCCTGTGCCTGCCTTCGTCGTGGGTTGGAAACCCCAGAAAATTGTGTGCATGCATGCGTGCGTGCGTGTGTGTGTGTGCGTGTGTGTGTGTGTGTGTGTGTGTGTGTCCTTATCGATACCGCATTAAACCGTGCAGGAATCAAACTTTGGGATGAATCTGAGGAACCCTGCAGCTCCTGTTTGTATAAAACAACCATTTAACAGAGACGCCACAAAACTAGCCTATACTCAATCAGACTCTGAATCTGTTCGCCTCCGACGGCCGAGTCAGAAATGACGGCGGCGGGTCGTTTTTTTTTTGTTTGTTTTTTTCGATACAAGGACTAACACTTTGGAAATGTCAGTATCTGTAGTCTGGCTTGTTTAGACGATTAGCTTTACATTCTGCTTTCAGCGCCTGGAGAGGAGGACCTGGATTGTAAGAGAACAAAAAAGAATTAAGTGGATTTGAACAATTCAAATTTATTTTTTTTCACCACACATTTTTTTTTGTTTTTCATTTCGACTCTGTAATGACGGCGACACGGTCGTCGAGCGAAGCGTTAAAAACGAGCTGCGTTGGTTTTGCATTCTGCTCTGTGCTGTAAAATACAATAACACAAGAATACTGTTTGCTTTCCCAATTCTGACGCCTTTACAAAAGTCTTCTTGCAGTTTACATGTCAGTAGCCGATATCACCAGTTAATATTATGTTATTCAAAGGAAGATTGATGTGTTTCATTGTGTTTTTTTTTATTTTATGGACAAATAATAAAAACACACATATAGGACTTTAGTTTTTTTTCTTTTTTCCAGACATTCATAATGGCTTAATTCTCCTTGATCCTATTTTGTAAACTATGATATGTAACTTTAACATTGAACAAAAAGTTTATTATTTAATAATAATAATAATGTATGTATTAGCAGTAGAATGTCGTAACCTGTACCTGGGGTCTTTTTTATAGATGTATATACAATGACAGGTTTCAACCATTAAATGTGACCATTTCACAATGAATGACGACACCGAGGCCTCGTGCTCATTTCGCCTTTCTCGGACATAAAGCATCAACTTCAACAACACGATAATATTTCAGTGTAATAACAGAGCTGAAGCTTCTTACCTCCCACAGACATAAACAAACACGGCCTCAGTTCAGGTTTTTCAAATCAATAATTGTGACAACAACATTTTCTCTCAATTTGGCTGCCGGGGCCAAAGTATATTTACAGTTTCAGATTCATTATATCGATGTTTCATGGGTTTTTTTTCTTGACATTTAAAAAAGTATCTTCAGCCGGTTTGTCACCGCTGAGGATTTGTGGTCTTTATTATTTCTTAAACTTGTTATAACCTCGACTGTTTGAAAGGTTGGAAACAAACATCAGGACTTTAGAGGTGAACTTTTGATGCTTTCTTACTTTCTTTCTTCAAGTTCTTCAGGGTTTTTGTGAAGGTTAAAAGTTTTTGCAAAGTTGAAAAGCCTGAAGTCTGTAGTTACGGGAGCTCGTCTCCGCCACAGTCCGCTCGTCTCCAGTCTCACCACCACCCGACTTTTGGGACTGTGACAGAAAGTTACTCGACATGCAGAAGGGTTTGGCGATACATTTTCTAAAAATCTTGAAATAAGTTTTGATAATTGCGACTGGCTGCTTTTGTCCTGAAGTTAATTTAGTGACTTTGATGTTAAACTGATGTAAAACTTTAAAACGCTTCTCAGACTTTTACCACAACAACAGATATATTCAACTGAATAATGGGACGAGAAGGAAATAGTAGATTCATTTGGCCAAATTTCCTTTTCAACCTATACCTCTCTCTCCTCCGGCCTCTCTCTCTCTCTCGTTCTGTCTTACTTTCTCTCTCCACCTCTCTTTCTTTCATTATTCTAACAAGCTCTGGCAGAGCGATCCCGAGACCCAGGAAGAGTCAATACACCATCTAACAGCCGTCAGCTGGACTCCTGCGTGTATCTGCTTGTGTGGGTGTTTCATTCATTACTCTTTCCTCCTTCGCTTTGCTCAAACTGGCCTGTACTTTCTTTTCTCCTTCTTTTAGATTGTGGCGTCTATGAGAACCCAATTAATATTTACAATGACGGAGCATGACGTGAAGAAGAGGACGGGGCTGTTTTTGTCCTTGTTGGTTTTTGTGTTGGAGAAAATCACATTTTCTGCGTTTAATAAAAACGAGTTAATAGTTTGACGATTTAGAATTTTTCACCTCAACTGAGCTTTAATTAAACGACAGCGGAAATGTTCACACACGCTCTCTTTGTGTGCAGCCACAATGTGATCCACATTAACCTCCAGTGTGTGTGTGTGTCTCATCCAGAGCCTGTCAGTTCTAACAGCCCTGCTCTGCTCTAATGACTGGTTTGACCTTTCACTGATAACTGGATGAATGACACAATCTCTGCTCTGCTTTTCACTCTCTCCTCAGCGTTCCGCCCATTCAGTCTTTCTCTCTCTGTCTGTGTCCATGTTTCATTTGCTGTTTTCGCTTGCTTCCTCTTTCCTCCTCATCCATTCAGCGGCATAAGGCCTCAGTGATCTGCCTCCATCTGGGCCTGTCCTGGGCTTCATGTTCTGTTCACCACTATTTTGCTGTGAGACGACCTTGTTTGTGTTTTCCAGGTGGTGTCCATCTTAGAGCAGATACGTCCAATCCATTGCATCTACACTTTGGCTCCTAGTCTTTTTTCATGGCTAACGAAGGAGCAGAAAACCACAGTGGAGATGAAACTTCATTTTATCGCGCAATTTTATCTTATCATTAATCTTCTTTCATGGCTGCAAACTGGCAGCACAAATGTAAAGCTGAATCTCTGCTGCTGCTGTTTTAAAATGTTTTCATTGATTTGAGAGAAAAGAAGATCCTGCCTGTGGCCACTGGAGGGCAGCAGAGGCTGTGCACTGTCTGTGGTGCTGAAACGTTCGAACACAGTTATTGTCACTGTGTCTGTCCATGGTGCTGAATTATTCAAATTATTGCCCTTCTCTAAAGTCACGTCTCCTCCCTCTGTCATCACGTGACCCACAAATCAATCACGGCCACCTTCAAAATGTTCATTATTGGCTTGTTGACGATTCATCACCTTCTCAGGGAAGCTCTCGTTTCTTTCTATCTTTCTTTTTCTAGAAAAGCAGTCGCACCTTCGCCGAGGCCCAAGGTTCTCCAACGTTCTCCTTATTTACATCTGCTGGATCAAGTATTTTTACTAAAACAAGATTTAATCTCATTAATAAATTATCACCACATTGAATCGAACACACTGGTGAACAACAAGATGACTAGATGGACTGTCAGATATCTATTGTCATCTGAAAGACAGTATATCTGATTAATAATATCAGCACACATCTCTTTTTAAATGTATTAGGCTTCACCAGTGCATGTCAAAATACAGCATCAATCAGGATATGTATTTTAAATATTTAATGTAGTGTTTTTAACTGAAAAATATCAAAATAACTGGACATTTTAATTATTTATTGTTACGTGTTGTTGTTGTTTACCACAGGTTCTCTTATGTTTGAAGGGGAGGGTGAGGGGAGGGGTATTCAGCTGCGACTTCAGCACTAGATGTCACTAAACTATACTCAGTAAAAACTAGTGTAAAAACTCAAAACGTGTAGAACACTGCCCTCTGTCCCACTCAGGCTTTTGATTTGACCCTTTTACTTTCCACTGATCTCTTGTGGAATATTGTTTTATTCCTCATTATTGATCATAACAATGTTTCAGATTTCCTGTAATAACACTTGAATGAAAGAAATGGAAACGGTCTCCCGGTCGTCCAGGACATTTACCTCCAGCGATGTCTGCGGACATCATCCGGACGGTTCACTGTGTTACCGTCTGGCAGCAGGAGCAGGAGCAGGAGCAGGGGCAGGAGCAGGAGCAGCAGACTGAAGAACAGTTTCTTCCATCAGGACGTCAGACTCAGGAACGATCCTCTGCACACTCTCTGAACAGTTAAAGTCGTTACTTCATTTGCAAAGAACGTTTGTAGTTTTGGTTCTGTGTTGTGTTAGACCTTCTTGTATTCAGCTCTTTCTACTTTTATTTTATTTTTATTCTGCGTGAACCTGCTGTTCCCGGCTGTTCCTCCCCTGACCTGTGGGTGGCAGCAAAGCGCCGTCACCAGTTAACTCGACCATACCAACAGCAGAGAAGCAGAGTGGGCGCCAGCGGATGCGGGGAGATGTGGTGAGTGTTTGTGTTTGTTCCTAAAAACAACAACACGACGATGAAACCAGGAAACGGTTTATTTACGAGTTTTCAATAAAACGCGACGCGGCTCGTGTTGTGGAGTTTAGCGGCGTTAGCTTAGCTGGCTGCTAATTAGCTGCTATCCGCCAACACAAAGCAGCAGCAGCAGCAGCATCTGTCACTGTTAGCCGCTTAGCTTTAAGCTAGCTGCCAGCCTCCTCTGTCACTGTTAGCCGGTTAGCTTTGAGGCTAGCTGTTAGCCTCGGGGACGCTGGTGAAGATGAGCGATGAAGAATCGAAACGCAGCTTCCAACATAAACGTGTCGGGACGAGCGTCAAAGGCGCTAACCCCGGTTAGCATGCTAACGTGAACCTGCAGCTGTGAGCAGGTGGAGACTGTAACCAGCAGCTAACCCATGTTTCATCCTGAGGAACGAAACAGCTTCACCTTCAGGAGGAGGAGGATTTATAGATCTTAGTCTATGTATTTATCTTTCTATCTATCTATCTATCTATCTATCTATCTATCCATCTATCGTTCTGTCTTTCTATCTATCTATTTAGCT